AAATTGGGTGAACTAAAGCAGAATGAAGCAGTTAAACTACTGACAAATCGATTCTTTTTCGTGGTCCCATTGAAGAAATAGGCGCCAAAATAGATAAACGCGAGAGAAAATAACAGAGTCGAACCTTTCCTTCGAAGTGATGCTTGTTCTTAAAAATGGCATTGAAATAAGCGTCCATGCGAACTCGGTCACAGAGCATCTCCTTCTGGTGATACAGGAAGGCGTAGGTGCAGAAATACTGAGCGAAATCGACGCCCTTGTCGACCTGTAGGCTGCCATTGCCGCCGGCGCTCCGCTCCCCCACGACGCCGTTTGAGGAGCTTCCCATGGCACCGGGATCCGTATGGTAGCAGAAACGATGGAAAAGCGAGGGAGCGCGAGGACGAGAAACCAAAATGAGGAGGCTTCAAATTTTAGGGCTGCGGCTCTGTATTACTTGGAGTTTTGATCCTCTGTACTCGGTAGCATAGCATAACATATATATATAAAACTATTTAAATTTATAAGGTAAACTTTCCAACTTTCAATAAGTAAAAAAGGAGAGAGAACTTCAACTCAATTAGATTGTTAATAACAGTACTCAAAAATTAAATAAATAAAATAGATTCTTAATAACTACATTTAAGTGGGTGATATTCTAAATTTCACATGGTTTGGAAATTTTTTTTTTAAATAACCTTTACCTTTTAAAACTAAAATTCTCAAAAATAATATTTTGTTGTAATGGGTCAATAATTGACGTAACATGACATGTTGAGTCAACTAAATAAGATTTTGATGAATTTGGACATAGCTACTTAAACAACTAAGCATAATGTTTAACAACAAATTTTGAAGATCAACAACGAATATAACAATCATCACGGCTCCTTTTACAAATAGGAGTAGTTGCCACAAGACGTAGTGTGATAAGCAATCTTACTTCATGCTTGTGTTAACAATGTTAGATTATGTTGGACAAATATTTGTTTAAGCTATAATTATCTTTCTCGTATTGACATATTGCTCCAATCAGCCTATACCTCAGGTGAACCATGTGCCTTAACAACTTTTTATTATTATTATTAAAAAGAAATTATTGTTTGCCTTTTGATAACAAATAATTAGTATTTTTTTAAAAGTATAATCGTATATCATTTTAATATCACATAATATCATTTTAATATCACATAATTGTGGAGAGTATTTTCTGATTAATAATATAAGTTTTTCAATTTAATTCTTTAAATATAACACCATAGTGGTTTGAAAATTAAATTATTAAATTGATCTTAATGGTGTGAGAGCCATTTATCTTTTAGATTTCAAAAATTTGTTTGGAATTACTTCCAATTCAATTTGTATGGTTTTAAAATTTTCAATTTAATACAGTAAAACCTCGTAAGTTATTCATTGAATATGAGACATGTTTATATTTTCAAAAAGTACCATTGATAAAAGTAAGGGACTCCGTCTTCTTACTAATAAAATTTCGAGGTACAACACTATTTTATCTATAATAATATGTAGTTTTTTTTATTATACATCATTTCGTTAATATGTAGAGCGGAGAATTTTGAGATCATTTTAAAATAGGAAATAATTCTTGAAATTGTGTGAATCTATATTTTTTTAAACGACTTTTCCATTTCAGAAAAACACGGATTTCATATATCCACTCCTACATGTAAAAAAATTATGTATCATAAAAAACTACATATTAATAAAATGACGTTGTACCCTTGAGTTTTATTAGTGGAATATAGTAAGAATATTGTCCCTACTTTGTACTCCAGTCTACTTTTAATTCTTCGTATTGAATATTATAATTTTCACGTTGAGTGTAAATTATTTTTAGAAATAATGTTTATTTTTTAAAACAAAAGCAAGAATAAATACTTTTGAAAGTTTTATTTTCTTAATAATAAATATTTTTGAAAGTTTTATTTTCTTAATTTGCTTTTAGTGTGTTTTTTTTATATAACAATTTGGATATGGAGATCAAACCTCCGATCTTGATAAAAGGAATACATGTCAATCATCGTCGAATTCATTTTTTTTTTTTTTTGTGTTTTGACAAATGATTAGTTTGTCATTTTAAATGTAAAATCGTATTCCTTCAAATATCACAAAATTTTTAAAAGTATTTTCCAAATGTACACAATCATATTATCTTTTAATTCAATCAATCACTTTTTTCTAGAAACAATAACACAATCATTTAAGATATATATTTCACTTCCCAAAAGTTGATGATTCAAATCTCCACCCTACCATTCTTGAAAAAAAAAAACAATGGTTGTAAGGTTAAATTTCAAAACTTTCACTAAGTCCTTATAAATCCAAAAATTCCAATTTAATCCATAAAATTTGGTCAAAATTCACACTTGCCATTACCATATTTATGTAGCAATCAACTTGTGTTTCTAATTAAGTTGGTGTGCTAGCTACTTTTATTAGAGATCATATGTGAAAAAAAATATATAATAAAACTAATAATTTTTTTAAATTGAAAAAAATAACACAATTGATGGGTTCGACCAAATAATTAAAACTTTTAGAACCAGAAAGACCCACTAAAAGTAATCTCATAAGTAAATTTGTATTTTTTTTTATCAAATTTGTAATTTAACGTTATTCGAACTTTTTTTTTGTCGCACTCTCTTTTCTATCATTTTTTTACCGCATTATCAAAAATATATATTTACCTAATCAGCACTATTTAAGTATTAATGTAGTACTAAACAAAGTATTAATGTGAATGAGTATATACCGGATGAAATTATTATTTTTTAATTTAGTAACATAATTAAAATTTTCACCTTTGTGTAAATTTTCATTAAAAAGGAAAAAAAAAATTGTCAGAGTTAGTTGATGATAGTTAAAGACAGGCCATACCCACTAGATTGGTCACAACTTGAAAATCCATAAATCAAAACAGTTATCAATTTTGCATTCATGATTGAAATATGGCCCAATTTTCAAACAAAATAAATTGACATCCAATATAAAAAGCCCAATTTCATGACAAACTTGGAGATGCATCCTTTTGCTTTTGCCAATGTTTCTTAAATAATTAGCCAAAATTCATCTAATAAAAGCCACATTATCAAATATAATACTACAAATTAGTTAATTAAATAGTGTGATTATGAATGTGAAGTCTCCTCTCCCGTCGTTTTATTCAACGTCTTCTTGAATTATACCATTTTTTATGACTAGGTCTTTTCAATAGAATCCTTAATATTTTATTTGCAACAAATTTATATAATAATAATAAATACGTCTCAGTATTAGATTATAAGAGAGTATGGATATCATAATTTCTAAGCAATAATTTTTTTTGATTTGTTCGTATTTGCTTCTTAGTTTACATTGATTGAACGAGTCAGCTCCAAAATTTATTTAAAACATTTGTGTAGGATTTGTAGCTTTTGATCCCAACAACTAAATATTTGTGTGTGTATATATATTTTTTCACGTTTCCCGCTATCTTCCCATGAGCGTAGAATTTCTAGATCTGGATGTAATGCTTCCTTCTTGAATTTTAAATATATGACATTACTAAGATTTTAAGCATTGGAAAATGTATGAGATCCCAACTTATAGAAATGTCAATAGAGATATAAAATATCGATATTGATAAATATTTATGACATAATCATAAAAATTAAGAAATTAAAAATATACAAAATTAGCTAATAAGCATTTCACTAATTTAAAATAGATAAAAAAATATTGGTATTAATATTATGTTTATGTCAGTGATATCAATATTTTTATAATATAATGGAAATTTCAATTTACCATTTACTGTGGAGGTCAAACTCATAGACTTTGGAAACATAATATGGACAAAAATTTAACACCATAAACATAATTGAAAAAATAAGCACAAAATGTAAAAACTTTTAGGAATTTTTTAATTTTTCAATTGACTCATCTTCTCGTTCAATTTTTTTTTAATGAGTATAATAAACGTGAAGATAAGATGCTTTTAACTGTTAATGGACTATTCAACCATCCACCTAGTTTTGCAATTTCAATATATATTTGTCAAATAAACTCTTTAATAAATATGTTACGTTAACATTGTATTAAAAATAAAAATTAAATTTAGAGATCCAGTTGAAACTTATTATAGTTAAAGTCTAAATGGACAAAATTGTAAATTAAAAAAATAGTCTAGACTAAAATTAAAACATAATCCAGTTGATTTTGACTCTGTTTTAAGAAAAGTGTAAAATACTATTGTAAATTAAATTATTTTAAACGGTAAAAAAAAAAGGTAAAGTAAGCATAATTCTAAAAAACATAAAATAAAAAGCGAAATTGTTATCCAAGATTTAAAAAGTGAGGGGATAGTTCAAAATTGTAAATTGCTTTTTTTTTTTTTGGGTTAAAAGAATTATGTGGAAAATAATAATAATAAGCTCTGTCGGTCAACGAGATGGACTCGGCAAATTTAATTGCGGTCCGCCCACCCAAAAAGAAAAAAAAAATTAATACTATTCTTCAAAGTTCACAGTTCTTACCGGAAACAGATTCACAGAAGATTTGAAATGTGAATCCGTTCTGTTTACGGAAACCTGGAGAGCAATTTCCATGGAGGATAAGAAAGCCAACATAATTGCTCTTTCCTTAGTCATCATCCTAATCCTTATCGTCATTCTTGCTCGAGTTTTCCTGAAACTTTCCAACGCTTTCTTCCTTATTTGCGGGATCGATGTGTCCGTCACCGCCGCTATCTTGGTGTATATGGTGATCAGAATGCGATTCAACCGGAGAAGAAAACAGCTCGAATCGCAGCTGGTTTCCGAAGGTCGAGAGCTTCGGATCGAGTACAGTTTCTTAAGGAAGGTCGCCGGAGTTCCCACCAAGTTCCGCTACAAAGAGCTCGAGGAAGCCACCGATTATTTTAGGGCTTTGATAGGGCGGGGATCGTCCGGTTCAGTCTTCAGAGGAGTCCTCAAAGACGGCACTGCCGTCGCCGTGAAGCGGATCGAGGGAGAGAATCAAGGAGAGAAAGAGTTCCGAGCGGAGGTCGCCGCCATTGCGAGCGTTCAGCACATAAATCTCGTTCGTCTAATTGGCTACTGTACCAATTCATCCGGACCACGATTTCTCGTCTACGAATTCGTTCCGAACGGATCCTTGGATTGCTGGATTTTCCCCAAGAAATCGGAATACAAGAATCGGAATCGCCCCGGCGGTTGCTTGGCTTGGGATCTGAGATACAGAGTCGCCATTGATGTCGCCAAAGCCCTAGCCTACCTTCACCACGATTGCCGGTCAAGAATCTTGCACCTCGATGTCAAGCCCGAAAACATCCTTCTCGACGAAAATTACCGAGCGATTGTTTCCGATTTCGGACTCTCGAAGCTAATGGGGAAAGATGAGAGCAGAGTAGTCACATCAGTGAGAGGGACGCAGGGGTATTTGGCTCCGGAATGGCTGTTGGAGAACGGAATTTCAGAGAAATCGGACATCTACAGCTACGGAATGGTTCTTCTGGAACTAGTCGGAGGGCAGAGGAACGTGAGCGTAGTTGAAAATGGCGAGGACAGATCTAAAAGGAAATGGCAATATTTCCCCAGAATCGTGAGCGCGAAGATGAAGGAAGGGAAACTTATGGAGGCTGTGGATCCGAGACTGGTAGAAACCGGAGCGATCGACGAGAGAGAGGTGCGGAAACTGGTTTGCGTGGCTTTTTGGTGCATCCAAGAGAAGGCGAGGCTGCGGCCGACCATGGCGGCGGTGGTGGATATGCTCGAAGGCCGCGTCCCGACGGAGGACCCGCCGGACACTCAAATGCTCGTCGTTGATTTGTTGTCCATAGACGAAGAGACGATGAACAGTCACGAGAAGTTGAAGGTCGTCGGGATCGGGGAACGGATGAACGACAGAGATCTTCCTTCGTCGTCGACGGCGACGTACTCGTACGCGTTTTCGGTACTCTCCGCCCGGTGAGGTACGGCTGTGGCGACGGCGTCCGGCCGTCGCTCTCCCTTTGACTTTGCTGCCCTACCCATGGTACCAGAATTGCACACGTCGACTTCCTTTTCTTTTTTCTTCTCGACTTATTTCTTTTTTCGGCATTTTTTTTGACATTTAATCAACGAAATATAATGTTTTTTTTTTCAAAGTCTACATTTTCAATGATGTAAACTAACAATTGCATTTTGAAGGGAAAACAAAACATTCTGTTTTACTACCAAAATATTTGTTCTTTGTTAATATTAGAATTCAAGTAACCAGTGAACTTTACAAAATGTTGAATATAAAAAAATATAAGATACAAACTTATGTAATCTTTTCCAATTTATTAGACATTTATCTATGCATAAAATGTAATCCTTTGGATTTGTAAAGTAAATCTTCCTGAGGAGTCGGGAAAAAAAGAAAAAAAAAAAACGAAAAAGTTCAATTTTTGTCATTAAAGTTTGGTTTCCGCGTGCTGTCTGTTTCATCCAACACAAAATTCACACAAGCATCTAATTCTTATTGGTTGTAAAGTGGAAATTTTAGTTATAGAAAACGTCAAATATATATCCTTTTCATCATATGAAGCCTCCATTCTCATGAGTAACTCCAAAACCATCCGCTTTGACTATTATTGGCAAATGTTTGAATAGTAACCTCTTCTAGTATCAATTTTAAAATGGTAAGTTATGGTATATTTAGCCATTTAATCTAGCATAACGACACGTGAGATGAATGTTCGAATACACGACCTTTTGATTGGAAATAAATGCTTTAAACAGTTGAGCTAGGCTAAGGTTGACATTTTAATCTATATTTTTAACATTGTGGAAATTAATTCTATATTAAGAAGGGTTGAGCTATAAAATGTATTGTTAAATATTTTCTTCAAATTCATGAGGATTTATTCTTAAAAAAAAAAGTTATGAACAGTAAATTATTTGAAAGTGTCGCAACCGTATAAAATTGGCGACTCTGCACTCTTGTATGTATAAGAGAATTTAAAAACTATATTTTCAACGTGTAACGAAACATTATTAAAGATAAACTTTCTTTTTTTAGTTCAACAATATTTAAATAGATGGTGCATGATGCAATTAATGCCCTAATTAATAAAGATTTTGTACCATCCTCGAGGTATAGTTTGGGTGGTTTAAGTGGCTTGAAGTTTCAAGGAATATCCTTGAAGTCTCTTGCGTATGTACGAGTACGGGACAATGTGCATATCCCTAAATGTAGGGACAAAAAGATCAAAAGTTATCGACTTCGAGATAATAAAAAGGAAATATAATATATATATATATATATATATATATATATATATATATATATATATATATAAAGATTTTGTGCTAGTCTTTCGTGATTAGATATATTTGTGTATTTCCTTTGCATGCTTTTTGGGGTTTGATTATTAGTCAACTTTTTGTACAATTTTTTCTTTTTAAGTTCAATAATGAGAGGGTGAAGACTCGAGCAACTTTGAAAATTGATGTATGGTGAACGTTTAAATTATTTGAACTATACTCAAACTGACATTTTTTATGATTTATTGGTTGGTTTTTGAGTAGTTTTTCTAATTTAATTTTGAGAAACTAATAATTGTAACATTTATTTATGTTTAATATTTAATTTGATGAAATGAAAATCTTAAAGGTTAATTAAAATTGACGAGCATAGCTTGGAACGACACATACATATTACCATCTCAAAGATTGATTGGATCTCATATTTAATTGTTGAAGTAAAAAAAAAGGGATAAAAATACATTTTTACTCATTGAAGCCAGGACTTAGTTTCTTTGGTCATTGGATTTTCAAAACCATCATTTTTTATTATATTTGAATTTAGTTTTTATTTGATCTTTGAAGTTTAATTCAAAATAACATGTTTGGTCATGGAGTTTAAATTTAGTTTTTAATTAGTCATTGAAGTTTGAATTTAGTTTCTAATTGGTCCCTAAATTGACTTGACCGTTAGTTGACCTAACCGAATGATGATATGGTAGTTAACTTAACACACACCAACTAGACTTTACTGGTGCGTATTTTTTAAATGCTTTGACAAATTTTATTATTCTTTATTCTTTTTTACCTAAAGGAAATTTCATCTTCTCACTCCCTCATCGTCTCCTTTATTTCTACTTTTCTTCTTCCATTTTAAATCGACTCGATTTTCTATATGGATTAAACTAGGCACTTGTAGACCAACGTGAGCTCGATGCCACCTACATCCGTCTTGAACTCCTCCATGGTGCCCAACGTCGACAACATCAAGGCAACGATGTTGAAGTTATGCTTGTCGATTAAGGATTTGATAATGTTCAATTCGAATATGTGGGGGAAACGGTGGCATCGAGCTGGGTTAAAACGGTGGCATATTAATAAAATTTACCACCATAACTCATTTGAAAATATACATCAACAAAGTCTAGATAGCTTATGTTAACTAACGTGTATGATCAAGTTAGAAAGATTTATTAAAAATTAAATTCAAAGTTGATATACCAAACATCTCACCCCCAAAACTTGGAACACTAAATAAATATTAAATTCAAACATGGGAAATCAAAAGCAATAGTTAGACAAGAAAGATATTTTACGTAAAGAAAATGGCATGGGGACAAAATTATGTATATAAATTTTCAAATTTATCTCTATTCCCAATTTCCGATCATACGTGTGCCACTTTGAATCGGCTTCATTTCAAACGCGCCGAAAGTGGTCCTTACTCCCACTCATTCGCATTTCATAATTACCCCTTTTCTTAAGGAAAATAATAATAAATTATGCATTTTCATCGCGTCAATTCATAACGACTAAAAGAGGGAAAAAGAAAAGAAAACAACGAAAAGTATTTATTTGATTTATTTATTCTTTTTGCAACGGGAAAACAACAAGTACACGGATTTTCATTGTCCACGAATTCGTTTACAAATTTTGAACCTATGTTTTAGGTTGCTTTTAGATTGGGTTTTATTTTATTGATTTAGAAATGACAGCATTCCATGTAAATCCTTTTTTTTTAATGTATTAATTAGTAAAGCATTTACAAAATATCAACTAGCTACTATATTACAATTTATGAACTTAACTCGTCGTGAATTCGAATCTTTATTCTAACCATTATGGTACTAAAAGAATGAATAAAAATAATATTCAACTGACAATTAATATAATTCAAGATATGTTAGATAATCAATTATATTGAGTTCTCTAGTTTATTTTTCAATATTATTATTTGAATGGTGCATGAAATGCGTAGGTACCAAATCTGATTTCAAGAACATATGAGATACAAAAATTTGGTAGTGACATTTTTAAGTATTAAATAGGCAATAAGGTGAAAGAATTGTGCCACAATCAGTAACATTTCAATAGTATTATTAAAAGGAAAGATATTCCTAAACCCATTAATTCTATCTTTTAAATTAAAAACACGATCTTAATTGCCAATCTGACATAGTTTATTGGTTAAAACATTTTACTCTCTCTTTGTATTTTAAACATATACATACATCTAAGCTTAGACAATTAGAAGAAAATTATAATATCTTAATCAATGGGCGTAGATTCAAATATATGATTTTAGTGGGAAAAAAATTGAGAAAAGATCAAGTGGGGTGGATATTGGGCACGTGGCGGAGATTGACATACCGTTTGGAGAAAAGTCAACTGAAGGAGAACGGTTAGCACGTAGGCGAACGAGGCTCTAACAATAATAGAAACAGAGAGAAGAAATAGGGATAAAAACAAGAGGCGCGGACCGAGCGGGGCGGAGACACACAAGAATTCGGCACGCCCGCTCGCTCGCTCGCTCCCTCTCTATCTGTATCCCTTCTCTGTTCAGAGAAACCAGGAGGAGAACACAGGAGCCGAGGACGAGCTACTTACACACCCGACAACGACCCTCTTCCTCCAGGTTCGTTCACTTTCTTCCCTCTAATCTTCAATACCTTCTGATTTCTGGGTCGCCTTCCACTTCTGATTCATTTTCTCATCTTTTCAAGTGGAATTCGTTATGACCCATTTCTTTTTTTGATCTTTTTCCACTTGGGTGTTTCGAATTCGCGACGATGGGGAGTCGCTCTTGAATCTTGGGTGGTATTCTGTTGCTTGCTAGTTTCTTGTTCGGCTGTTGGGCTTTGGTTGTACGGAAAGAGAGAGGCATTGTTTCTGGAAATTGTTGTCATCTCTTGGGGTTGGTTTGGAATGTATGTGTTTTTTGAGCGATTTCTTTGATTGGGGACGATAATCCCTATGGTTACGTTTCGGTTTCATCCTCTCATTCTTGATTCTTTCTTCTTTAGAGCGTTGAGAGGGGACTGGGTCCTGGAAATTTTTTGTCTAAAGGGTGAAATGAGTTATAAATCCTCGCGAACAGGACGTTTCTTGGATTGTTTTTGACGAGCTTTCGTCCCCGGATGATTTTTATTCAGCAAGTTTCTTGAAAGACTTCAATGCCTCTCGTAGTTGATTTATTTCCCCTTTTTTACCCGCAGCAGGATCGATTATCAGTCAATCTCTTCAGGTGGTGGTTTACTTGGCCGGTTTTATTGCGAATATGAGTTTTGCAGGCCCTTCCGTTGGTTCTGGTCAGTGTACTTGACTCTCTGCATATCTCCTTCACTATCCTAATAGGCGTCCCTAAACATTACTGTTCTATTCAAGGAACTTCCGTTTTGCGACTATGTATTTTATATCTGTGGGAGCAACCGAGCTCGATGTTGCCCTCTCTTTAAGATATATTAGTTTGTGGAAGCTTGATCGTTCTTGCTTGATTGTATCTCTTTCAGCTGGTAAAGCTGCCAAAAAGGCAATTGAGTTTGGTAAAACCTACGTTGTGAGGCCCAAGGGAAAACACCTAGCGACGGTTGTCTGGCTTCATGGTCTTGGTGATAATGGCTCAAGGTAGTCTTCTTTCTTTCTGTTCTTTTCTTTTCTATTTTTTTTTTGAAGGAAGACTGAATGTTTGAATTTTTCCCTTTCTGCATCGGTTGTAAGAGAAATGAGAAGACACTGATTATTTATTTGCCCACAGCCCTTCTGCATTTGCCAGTTCCACTTACCTTCTCAGTTTGTTTACTCTTTATCGAGCTTCCCCTCAGTCGTGTTCCTAATTTCTCTTATGATATTATTTTGTGGTTTTCTGGGTGATGGTAATGATAAAGTTTTTTGGTATAATGCAAGAATAGCTCTTATTTTGTGTATTTTGACTAAAAAAAATGAAGACTTTCAGATCTGCATAAGGGGGTGTGGGTAGTTTCTTGACCTTATTCCTTTTGTTCGGTCTAGTTAGAGCTCTTTGGGCAAAAATGTTTCCTTTTATCATTAATGCTAACTGGAGGCCCCTTCTTGTAACCTATTTTGGCTGTGGGTTGGGTCATGTTGTACCCCCCCATCTAACCTGCTATAATTCTCTGTTCCTTCCTGCTACAAAAGAATTGAATTGCTATTTTCTTTGGTGATTATAGTTATTGGTATATGATGAATGGTGCAGTAGTTAGGAAATAGGGATTTTTAGAAATTTCCACATAGTGTTTCTCATTTGGATGTTGTGCAACATGCTCTCTCATGGTTGGAGGCCCAGGGGAGATAGGGGGGACAGGTCATGAATTTCCTTAATATAGTTGGCTATATATCATAGGTTAAATCCACGCATTAATGGAAATCAACTTTCATTGTTTCACATTGTGTTGTAAACAATATGAGGTTTTATCTATTGGGACTTTTTCTTGTCGCAACTCCATGCAGATTTTTTGTTCACCTATAGGGGTTGATGAATTGTGTTATGAAGTTGTTTTCTTTTATTGGAAGTATCAGCATTATCGAAGTGGCTTTATAATCTGACCTTAAACTGTCTGTCACACTTTTAATTTAAGGCTGTATTTTAACTATACCTTGATAGCTGGATTACCATGTCCTGTTCAAACAATAAAAAGTTATTTTATCCCCTCCCCTCGTATTGGTATGATTACGAGAGTGCTAAGGATACTTCTGGTTGATTTTCAATTGAAACTCTAACTGACACACTTCAAGATTATCCTTAGGATGGGCATTCTAAGAATATTAAGTGAAACATTAAATACGCTGAATCTATTTTCCTGTAATGCCTTGCCATTTTATTCAGTATTCAATACAGTCTCATGTTTATAAATGTTTTGATTTTGTCTGACAGCTGGTCGCAGCTCTTGGAGACACTTCCCTTACCAAATGTAAGAATATGAAGCTTATCAAAATATTTAGAGCAATTATAAAGCTATTCAAATTTTATTTTATTCAGTCCCCCTTTTTCTGTCGCTTTTTTTTTTTTTTTAATCAAATGGGTAAAAAGTAGATTGAAAAATTCATTGTTGGAAGAGGAAATCGTTTCTTTTAGTGTTTTGTATAAACTTGGAGTTACTGATGCAGATTAAATGGATATGTCCGACTGCACCTACTCAACCAATAGCTTTATTTGGTGGCTTTCCTTCCACTGCATGTAAGCTTTCCTTCCTCCAATTGGAGCAAAAGCTTCAATGAAAGAGGCAAATCTCACTTGGTTAAACATATTATATCACAGTGTGAAACAAAAGTTATAGTGAGATGTTTTTATTGAAACCAGGGTTTGATGTGGGAAATCTTTCGGAAGATGGTCCAGATGATTTAGAGGGTTTGGATGCTTCAGCTGCACATGTTTCCTATTTGTTGTCGACCGAGCCAGCTGACAGTATGTCTCTCTTGCAATTTTGATGTGATTAGATCCCTTTAATACTAATTATGTACCTTTTCCATTGATTTTGTACTTGGCATGCAACATGTTCTTCAACTAGTTTTGTTTCACATTGCTCTGTTTTTGGATGCTATGCATCTCACCCCGATGATTAAAAGATTTAAATCTCTATTTAGGATTGTTGGCATAATTTTGTTTGCAATCTTTTATTTTTTACAGTTAAGCTTGGCGTAGGGGGCTTCAGTATGGGAGCAGCTACTGCACTTTATTCAGCGACCTGCCATGCAGTGGGAAAATACGGGAACGGAAATCCTTACCCAGCCAATTTGAGTGCAGTTGTTGGGCTAAGTGGCTGGCTTCCTTGTTCAAAGTTGGCTTCTTAATTTTTGTCATCTGGACAGCCTCTGATCCTTTTACAATCAGTATGAAGCTTCATTTAACGAGTTATCATGGTGATTCCAGGACTTTGAAAAGCAAGATGGAAGGGAAGAATGAAAGTACTAGCGGAGCGGGATCCTTGCCTATTCTGCTATGTCATGGAAAAGGTATTTATAAATTTGTATTTGTTATGCAGAAGATGGTGACTATTTTTGTTACAGAATCCCCTGTTCTGTGCTTGGGCCAAATATTACAATACAAATTTGAGCTCGTTGTGTTGTTCATATGGTTAATATGTTAAGAAGGGATACAATTTTATCTTGATGTCTGTACATAAAAAGATGGCTGTTATTGTCAATGAAATAGAGTTTGAGAAAATAGTTTTTTCATTGTTAATCTTCATGAACTTCCCAACTCCACGTTATTATAAGCAACCTAGGCTTCAAATTTGGATTCTGACAATGGTTTGGTGTGTAACTCGTTTGCAGTTGATGATGTGGTTCTCTACAATTTTGGAGAGAAATCTTCCGAGGCGCTACGTACGTGCGGATTTCAGGACGTTACATTTAAATCCTACAGCGGGTATGCAATGAGAAGTTTTCGACTCGTGCGAGTTCATCCCTTCTAAATCGCGAAATTTAAGTACATTTTTTTTAAATCGACTTGTGTTTCGGTTGCAGACTTGGCCACTACACAGTTCCTGAAGAGATGGATGAGGTCCGGGCTTGGCTGATTTCTAAGTTGGGGCTATAGAGGGATGGGAGGCTCTTCAAAATGCACTATTTTTAGTCATGCTGTTTAGACAAATTCTTTGACCTACAGTTTATTGGGAACCAATTTGGTGTGATAATTGTATTCCCTTTTTAGACCTCTTGTATTTGTTGTGGTTTTTGCACCAACATTGAATCCTTTTTTGGTGAACTGCAGAGAGATACACTTGATACTTAATCATACACTTGATTGTTACTCTTCACAATATCATTCCCTGCATATTTTTCTTCACGCTGTCATTTTGATATTCCCTTTGGACAGATTTTTCTGAAAATTGTGTGCCCTAATTATTGTGAGATGGACCATGTTTTCATTAAATTGCAGTTTTTTATATATAAAACAAAATATTACATGACCAAGATTCCTATGACTCATAAAGAAAGACGTTGGATGTCTGACTGAGTTAGACTCGTATTGGTAATCTATATTATATTGACGTTGTGATAAGGGCATATTTACAAAGGTACATTACTACACTGTTTAATGTAGTCATATGATATAATATGGAAACTCAATATTGTAGAATAAATTGAGGCAATATAATAAAAAATCAACGGTTCTAAGGATATGGAAATAACATTCAAATTGATCTCTATATTTCTTGTGGGTCAATTAAGCCCAGAAGTGTAACCATAGCTAATTAGCAAGAACAACATTCTATTTCCAAACGCTTGATATAACAGAAGCAAAACAGTTTCAACTTTTGAAATGGAGACAAGATTATAGAGCATATGGGATGAAGTTTGTAAGCAATAAAAGAGACTGACTGCCTGCTCTTTCAGTTGTGGGATTCTTTGATAAAAGCAACATCGGCAGTCCCGGTCGATGGTGACAGTGGCAGCAACCGCTTATCTTCCTCGTTGTCGATTTCTGCTGTCACTTGCCGAGCTTCGAGTGACAGAGACTCGGCGGTACATTCTTCCTCTGGAGGAAACAAACCCCAAAACATCTTGGTAATGCTAATAACAGCATACTTCTTTGGATTCAAGTTTTAACTACATACGTATTTGATCAGACCACAGATTCGAAATCAATTAAAGAAGGCGAAAACATTCGAATAAAAGACCACATACCTGAGAGTTCGTGGTATTCGGGCAATTGTTTGACGGTAGTTACTTGAAGACTTTCAGGTAGCAAACAACTGCACAAAGAACCTAAAGTTTTCACCAGAAGAGGAAGTTAGCAGAATTCACTTTTATGCGTTTCAGTAAAGAACAAAAACAGACATTATTAATTCTTTTATTTCTCCTCATATTAAAGACGAGAATGCATCCAATGGAGAATAAAACCATCATCAATGGAGTTTCAACTCACAAATATAAGATGTAGTCAAGAAAAGAGAAGCACAGCATATCTGTCAATTTATTCAACCAGAATCCTAGACATCTACTTTAAAGCAAAAGGTAATTAAGTTTCAATTAGAGATGAATGTATAAAGAAGTGGCTATCTTAGAGAGGGACCTGTATCCCTTAACAGGCCTCCAACTGAAGGTCTTTCTCTACATTTCAATGGCATCAATGTAATGGATGGCGATATACGAAGATGGCAAAAGGAATTCGGTTAAAAGATGAATAAAAAAGAGGTGAACAATGGGGTACTGGACAAAAATCAAAGAGAACTTAATTTGAGAAAACTATTACCCATCCGTGCAAGCCGATTAACCCATCCAGGTATTCTTTTCCCAGTCAATCTCCAACAGACATCATCTGAAAAATGATTACAATTCTTGGAAATAAGATGATATGTATCTCCGTGATATTCAGAAGCAACACTCTCAATAAACGTCCTGAATTCAGAGGGAGGCATATCAACATGACCCAACGAGACAGAACATCGGTATATAAAACCTGGACAGCTCCTTGGTTCTACTTCAAAAACTCCACTTGCAGGGAAGTCGTGAGCTCCAAACCCATACTCTTTACCATGGACTGTGTGCAATATGAAGACATTTGAACGAATTCATACATTAGGTTCACAATAGCAAGATAACATTGGAATTCTAAACTCATAATCTAGAATTTTGATGCAAAAAGATGCCAATCCAGGCTCACCCTCCAACATAAATTACACTCTAATATCAGTTGGCAGCCTTTCTTTTCATACGAAAAAAGCTTCAATCTTACATACCAATGAAACTACCTGACAATGACCTGATCAGACCACAATCTCTCCCCTTTCTCTTTACGACACACATTCACACAGAAATCAAGTGATATTGTTTCTCCCACAAACACATTCACTCAAATTTTCAAAGGCTGACCAGAAAGGAAGAACAAGATCTAGCACAGGCAGAATATTAAACAACGGCTTGTGCTTAGCCTGAAAACAAGCCCAGATTATAAAACTTGAATTTGTTGACTCTGAAGATTCAGACATGTCAATGGCAACTACACGAATAGATTTTGCTAAACCTCATTGAACGCAAATCAAGCTATCTTTATACGAATGTTCCACAAATCCACAACCAGCTCGAGATCAACCAATCCAGATCTTGGAAGATCTTCAGAGAGCTAATTTCAATCCTATACGGTCATCAACAGAAAGGTGCCTAAGTCCCATCTTATCTTATTTCCATACTATAGATTGGATTCAGTTCCATTCTAAACCAAATACTCAAGAAAATTCCAAAAGAAAATAAATGGTTTCGACAATCTCTCTTCAGAGACATTTTAACAAACATATAGGGTGCACAAAATACCAAATAAAATCAGCCTCCCCATTCGAAGGCGGAGATGGGGAGAAACCAAAAGGGAGGATAACAAAAAAGGAAAATGGCAGGGAACAGGCACATATAGAAATCACCTTCAAGACCCGAATGGAAAATCCCAAAACCAAACCAATAAGAATAATTGTTGGCGGGGGTGAGATCATAAACGTTCAACACCACCTGGTCTCCACTTTCGCCGGTCGTTTTCGAGGTGCTCTCTGCTCCCATCTTCTCGCAAGAATATGTTCCCCTGAATGTTCCTAAATGAATCTGAATTTGAAAATCTCTAGAAAACAAAGCTTTTTACTTTTACTTTTCCTTTTACTTTTCCTTTCCTTCTCTGTCCATCGGAGAAAAAACATGAATCGGAGAAAAGAGGTTGATCTCCGGCGAGAAGGGAAAAAGAAAAAGTTTACGAATTTCGAGAATAAACGACAAGGTGGGCTCCTAAACGTTCGATTCCTGCCCACCCAAATATGGCTACCATCGTTGAAAGAACTCAAAATACTGTCTTTTAAACAAAATGTTTCATTCTGGTAAAAGGAAATATAAATTCTTCAGGGAAAAAAAAAAATATATATATATATATATATATATAATAAGGAAATATAAAAAGAATAAATAAAAAACAGAAATTCTCGACCATTTCACTACCAATAATACATAAATGTCTCAAAATTTACAATTTTAAAGTTGAAAGTATTATGAAGGAATACTTTTTTTTTTTACTTACCAAAACATCATTCTTCTACCACATTTATTGTGATATATTAATTTATATTTTCTTAATAATTTAATATTTTATTTAAGGTTAGTATATTTATTAATTCTTAAAATTGTAATTTGCAATTTTTTATTAATTAAGGATCGCAACTAATTTATTATTCTCCTATTTTATTAACCATATTATTTTCTTTTCCAAAAACAAGAAAAGAAATATATTCTTTCAAGAATTTATTTTGGATTTTAATTTATACTATCTTAAAAATTTAATTTTTATTTAAAGTAAATATAATTATTAATAGTTCAAATTTCTAAATTTGAATCTTTATTGTGTTGTTTTAAATTTATTATTTTTTAATAGATTAATAATTTAGGCAAATATTAACATTCACCCCTCTCTATAACAACGGTGCCTTCCAAGGTGTGAAGTGAGAGAGAAAAGTGGGAGAGAAGGGGTTTAATAATTGGGGTATTGAATAAGACGACCTTTTCATTTTTCATTTTTTTTCCATATTGAATATTGAAAAGTAATAAGAATTAGAGGTGTTAAGTTTTTTATCATCCTGCGTCGAGCTATTTTTCCGCAGGACCTCCCCTACAGTATCGTCACCGCAGTAGAGTTTAACCACCAAGTTCGGGATGGATTGGTGTGGTTTCTCTACGCCTAGGACACCAGAATATCGAACCATGAACGAAGAAAGACATGAGAGAAAAGCATATTGGCTAGCGATTGTGAGGAATGAATTTTCTTTTCTTTTCTTTTTTTCAAAAAATGAATCCATATTAATTAAAAAGTCCATAATTGTATATCATCACATAAATTTCTTTATTAACATATTTTATTTTCATCTCTTTTGTCGGGAAACATCATTTGTTTTATTTTATATTTTATACTACTTTTTGGCAAAAATTATTATTCTTCCTTTGATTTTTTAGCAAAAAATTCGGATGTATTTATAATTTTTTCCCGACATTGTAAACAACTATCATTGATGTTATTTTTCAGTTGAAATTTATTGGTTTTATATCTCATATATTTGATATATATCTGTATATGTTCCCTCGTGATAAAATAATTTGTACTGATCATGATGCACATGGTATAATTTGTATATACATTTGGAGATGCATATAGTCTAATTTGTAAATGCCTTGGAGATTAAAATGATGCACATGATATAATTTGTATATACCTTTCAGATCAGTATGCGATATATGGTATAACTTGTTTTTCCACGTGGTACAATAGTAATACATCCAAGAGTGATCAATATATTACATATACAATAAATATATATTATAATATTTCGCAACATTGCTTATAAATCATAACTGAATTTTTGATATATACCCAAGATACATGATAATAACTAGATCCACCGCCACGAATGTACTGAAAATTCGTTGACCTGCCCTTGTCCACCAACCAAGTATACCCTCAATCCAGTGCCGATGGTGGAGTGACATGTGGATTTAAAGCCTTTGAACTTATAATTTGAAGCCTTTGATGAGGTTCAACCTTTGATCGGTGGAGGGATCATCCTCCCAGTGCTGGTTTAGGTTCCGATCTGAGTACAACTCCATAATACTCTCTTTGTTTCTTTAGCTGTGTTTAAATTGATGCCTATCAAAAAGTTGTTCATGTTGTACTTGTTAAAATTTTTAACAAGTACAATCTAATTGTATGGAGCTTCATTTTTTATGCTATATATGATAAAAGAGATTTGTTTTCCAAAATTAAGTTTATTGCTAAATTTTGGTTGGAACAATATCTGACTTACAATTAACCCAAAATTAAAGATGACGAAGCAATATATACATAGTAAAAATGCTAGATATATCATGATGATGGTGCTTAAAATACCATTGGATACTTTATGGCTATTTTTCTGAATTTTTGGTGGGTAGGACCATGCATCTTAAAATTGAGAAGCTCCTAACCATTAATATATAATGGAGAGAAGACAACTCCAAAATAATTGTAACTTTGATTTAGGCGAATTATTAAAGTTGTTAGATGTATACGACATAATTTGCTCAACATGAATAAGCATGTGACATTCTTTGATTGATGTCAAGATTGTTGCATTCTCCAATTGCATTAGTAAAGCACGGTCAACATAAATATTGTTCAACGATAATTAACATCTACCCATTCTTTTGAAGGCTGAAGTTCAAACCTCCATATCCCCAATTTGTCGTACTCAAAAGGGAAAAAAAGACACCGGCTTTTTTTGAAGTGCAAAGGAAAACAAAATCTTAAAAAAGATGAATTGGGCTCACAGATTAAATTTGCATAATTTGAGCTTCAGAACTTGAGTTTGTTATTACAAATTTGGTAGTTTCACCAAGCTACATACTTGTGAAACATGCTTTGTATACTATGTACCATAACCTCTACAAATCATAAAGCTACAAATAAAACATGCGTTATATAAATTAAGGTTTTCATAATCTTAACATAGATTATATAAACGATCTTCCCAATTTCAAGTCCCATATACCCACCAAGAATATACTTAAATTTCTAGTTTTGTGATGGACAAACCTAACTCGTAAGCTAAACATCACCTGAAAGAGCCCAATTATAAACCTATCACAAACACTAGATCATGAGAAGCAAGCACCAAGAAAAACTCTCTAAGTACTTCTTGATCGATCCTTTTCCCCCATTCATTTTCATGGTTTAAATGCACAATATCAGTATCGAATTTTGTAATATCAAAATTCAACTACAACTTTGAACTCATCCCTAAATCTCCAATATTTACCTTGGTTGACTTCTCAATACCAAAATTGGATTAAAATATACATTCTTAAATCTTAAATACATCTTAGTATTAGCCAAAATCAATGGTCACTTGTATATCATTATCCAACATGAAAACATGTTTGGAAGTGATTTTTGAAAATCACGTAAAAAATGACAAAAGTAATTTTTGCACCAAACATGCCATCAGATCAATTAAGAGGGATTTAGCTAATAGATTGCATTTATATAGGCTCCTATATAACTTAGAGTTGTAATAAGAACTAAGGTTGAATATTTGAGATTACTTATTCGATAAATTTCAACCAATCTCATGCTTAAATAAAATGGTCTTCTAGCAGTTAGGAGTAATGATGGAACCTCTTTTCGTGTTTGTTTCTTCGAGGCTGGATATCCAATCCATTAGGCTGTCATGGAAGATGGATGGTCCAAGAGCCTTCGACTGAATTTACCAACTTCCTGAGAAAGCAAAGTAATTTTATTGAAACTTGAATATATAGAGAGAAACTAAGTTGACACTGCAGCAACATATGTAGAGAGTACGAGGGCTGCCAAAGGAAGACATTAAATGACTCGAAGTCCAGTAAATTACAAGATTCGAACCAGAATTGATCCAGAATCAATGGAACACATGATAAAGGCAGCAAGGAACAGCCTCCATCTTTCTTTCCGTTTTAAAGACCAAAAGGGCAACAGAAGCAGTAACCACCATATAGGAAATTGCTACCTGCTGCTACACACAGATTGAGCAAAACCTGTTTACCCAATCATCCTGAGAGGATGAGAATCAAAATCAAACCACATATATTCAGAGTATCATCAAGGTGCATTATCTGGTGTTGTCTGTCGCTGTATGCGCTCCTGATGCCTCAAGGGACCTGATCCATCATCTGAAGAGTCATTATCTTCATCTCTGGAAGATGATCCTATTTCCCCATCATAACTCTCCCCCCAAAGTCTGGTTGTTCTCCTCCTAAAACTTGGTTGGCCTCTAGCTCTAGAGACATTAGACCAACTGCTACTCCTCCGACTGGATTCAGGTCGAAAAACTCGAATAAGGAAAAAAACTGTGAGCCAACCACCATCATCAATGGGCAAAATACTATCATCAACCCTATCCTCTCCAAATGATGATTGTAGTGTGCTAAGAAGGTCGCCTAGGTCCCTCTGTCGCTCAAGTCGTCTCCAATTATGCTGCCGTTCTGGATCTACTTCTGATGGACGCACAAGAGGATGCTCCTTCCTTGCGTGCTTCCTAAGATCTGTATAGGGTCCACTGAAGTTACATGTCTCGCAGGAACAACTTCTTGATTTTGCATTCATGAACTGACGGGCATGCTCGTCAACAATCCACTTTTTTATCTTCCCTCGGCACAAAGGGCATACCAGCTTAGGCTGCGTCTGATTCTCACAAGATGAAGGGTGCACATTTAGTTGAATCCCCTCACTTTGCCCATCTGGCGTATCATCAACCATGGATTCAGATTCCAATGTCGGGGAAGAGTTTGCTGCTGGGAGCTCCATGTCTTCCTGCACTGGCATTATTGTTGAAGTTTCTGAAAACAACTTGCAGAATTGATCTAGGCAATTTGAGTGGCGACGGCTAGTATCACACATGTAAGGACGGCATCCCTTTTCATGGGATGAACATATAAGTAGAACTGCATTGTGAGGATGTTCCATGCAGACGGGGCATCTGACTTCTTCCCACTCTCTCACATTATCCTCACTTCCCACGGGCAGTTTAGGTGAAGATCGTCTAGCATGACTGGAGCTGCAGTTGAATGGAGATGCTCTATACCTATCATGAGATGCAGAACGATCTCTTCTCTCCTTTGGCATGATGAATCTTCTAGATTGGAAGAAAGAGCTTTGAAGTGCTGAGCAATCCTAACCATAAAATAGCAGAAAATAACTGTAAGAGATCAAAGCTAACATCAGATATACACCCTACTTGCATAAAACTAAATAAGATGTAGTCTATACATTTGCGCCCATGTTCTCCCCTTCGGTAATCATGATTAAAAACCCGATGCAAGAAATTTGCCTGAGGGCATAAAAAAGATAAAAGAGGAGCCTCCCATTGAAATTAAATGACTGCCTAATTGCTTCTTAAGATAAACCCGGGAGATCGAAGAGTGAATGAAACAAATTAAATTATTTGAAAGAAAAAAAAAGGGCATTCAAAAAGCAGATCACATAAGCACAAGTCTCGAAAGGAACAGCTCCAAGCTATCAATTCTTGATATTGTAGCAGACATGGCTATTTACTGTAAGATGAGAAACTATTTTATTAAAAACAGGGGGAAAAGATGGAACACCATTTATAAAGCCGGTTCAAAATATTGAAATGTGCTCAAAACAATTGTACATATAAAGACTACATAAAAAATAAGTCATTTCCTCAATATCGGCCAATTAAATAATACAAAATATCATTTTACAACATGAACTGATCATGGTTGCAGGCATGCAGCAACTGCAACATTTGCAGTAGTAGGCGAAAGTGTGCTGATGAATGTATGGTTAACATTGCTATCTAGTTTTATATGGCAGCTGTGATACAAAAATTGGTGACAAAAAATCAATCCTATAAGCAAACCATATGCCCATATCTTTCATCATAATCACCCTTGTTCTCAGCCATTACAACAAGGAGAATACATAGTTAAAAGTAATATTTTGAACAGAGCGTTTCCTCATTTCCAGAACGAAGAAGTT